GTTATATATTACTATGCGACAGGACAGATAAAAGCTCTATGGTTATTGTATGTGATCATGGATACCATGAGAGCTGTTTCAATATTTTATTAAATAGAAAATATCATTATTGTAAAGATATTCTTAATTAGATATAAGAAATAATATTTCTTCTCTTCTTTTATAATTGAGTAAATTAGATAAGAATAAATCAAATCTGAAGGAAATAATTGAAGCTGATAAAAATAGTCTACAAGATCAGACGATATTGAATGAAGATGATATATTGGAAGTACTTCGAAAAGATAAGCAAGCATTACCAAGGGTAGAGCAAGCTTATTCTGTAGCACTTAAAAGATTTTTGAATATTAATAATGTAGATTTTTAGCATATTTTTTTCAATATAAACTATTTTTATTATTTAATAAAAAAAAAAAGCATTTATTTATTTAAGTGAATAAATATAATATATTACATAATTATTAGGCCATACAAAATAAATTTTTTGGTTTTCATAACGTAAAAAAAAATTTATGACCCGGCAACCTGGAAGGTTTTTTTAATATATTAAATTTTTATATACAATAATAATTAAAATTTGAAATACAAATTACTTAATAGTTCAAGATATTTTGCATTTATTATTAAAAAATAATATATAACCTATTGGCTTTATAAATTATTACAAAAAAAAAATCAAATAAAAAATCAATTATTCTATATTTCTATATGATAGTGTAATAGGGTTTTATTACTTGTAAGATTACTTAAATTAATAAGAAAAACTGAGCTTCTAGCAATGCAAATAATTTCTCTAGCAATGCTTGTTATTTTCTGAAAGTTTAGGAAAATAACAAGTATTGCCAGGTAAATAACTTGCATCACTAGAAACTCTTTTTTTTTATTAATTAAAGTAGTAATTACAAGTCATAAATCCATCATGATATTATATAAAAATAAAAAATAATACCCTTGTTTTACTATTATGAGAAATAACCCAGTAGAGATCCCTACCCTGCTGTGAACCTTTGGGCCCTAGATAATCAGAAATATACTGGATTTTTTTTTCTTTAGCTTCAACAGAAGCCAAAAAAATCCAAGAAAATATCTCATTATTCCCCACTATTCAGAAATAAATAATATATACTTCCAAAGGTAATAATAAATAGATAAAACTTATTATATATCTTCTCTTTTTCACCTTTTCACCTTTTTTCCTCTCTTTAAAAAGTAATGAATCAAATTGGTCTGGGCCTAAGTGTAAATAAATTTTTATTATATGGTATCATGCACATTTTATATATCATACGCATTAATATGCATGTTATTATAAAATATGTATTTTTTCTATGCCTAGTTAGCAAAAGATAAGTCTAATCTGTTATGCTGTAACTAGGGTTTTTATGAATGAAATATCTTTTCAGTTGTCATAAAAAAGTTGATATAGTTTAAATGAAAGGATTTTGTAATATAGTGCATCTGTACTGCAGTGTACCAGTTTATCACGTGATATATAATCAATAAAATTTTATTATTGTACCCCGGATTGGAATTTTTCTGGTTCAGAATCGTGACAGTCCCGGATGAAAATTTAGTGCTTTATACAAATTATACAACAAACTAAAATTTTATATTCTAAAGCCAATCTAAACTCTAACCGTAACCCTAATCCTAAAGTCCTAATTCTGCACCGATTCTAAATTGGGACGATTCCAATTTTCTCAGTAAATTGTACTATATTAATATGTATTGTACTAATCTGTAATCATTTATTTAATTTTACATTTACATGCAGCTTTATTTATAAGCAAATTACTAGCCCTAGTCAAACAAACTGGAGAAAAACGAAATATGACAAGTGACAACCAAAATAGTATTTTCTGGTTTTCGCTTAGTATAACCTTATATAAACTATGATATTTATGTCTACATTATGAGATTGAAAAATGAAACCCCAAAAAAGTCACTATTTTTGTATTCACTTGGCGCATTCAAGTAAGAATCATTTGAATAGTTTGCATTATTTATCTGCTAATAAATAAACCTGTTTTGAACGTGATCTATACTAATGTATAATCAGCAATAAACGTTATAAAATTTCAAGACATACATGCATCCTGCTGTTTATAAAAAAAAATTATTCGCTATATTCCTCAGTCTCCTCCTTACTTGTCTGATCCACATCTTTTTTAGGGCATCTAGCGATGTTATGGCCCAGTTCTTTACAATTACTACAGAGATTGGGACCACGTTTTCTTTTTCTATGTTTTGACAATTCCTGCATTGCACTTTTATTCTCTTTATTTGTCTTGTTGTTTTGGTGGCTTACTGATTTTGGTCTGCCTCTGGTAATCACTTTTCGTGGATTCCTAAGTTGAATACTTATTGACTCATTTTCTTTATTCGAATCATTTTCTAAATCTGCATTTCGTCTATTTCTCCGAATAAGATTATCTTTACATTCACGTATGTTTGCCAAATAATTTTCAATGATCTTAATAAACTCCTCATCACAATGCAATAAACACTTATTTGTTGCAGTACATGCCAGACCCCAAACTCTTCCATAAAATATCTGTTCTTCAATAAAGTCTTTATTTGTATTGCTTTCTTGTTCATTCACATCATAAAATGGTTGAATCCAATTAAAACTTCTACTTTCTCTGCTTTCTCTATTTTCTATGCTGATGTCAACAAACCGTTGCCCAAATTGATCATATTCCACTGCTGCATCTTGACGATATTCTTTAGGAACCCACCTAGAAGCAATAAGCCTCATGTTAAATCAAGCTGCTTGTGTGATATTTAATAGATGAAAATAGTGTCGGCAAACAAGCCCCTTTTTTTGCTGAAGTAAACATGTACAACAGTATAATCCATTTTTTAAACAAAATACTATATGATTTATATTAAGACTTGTAACCCGTGAAATATTCCAAACTTCAACAATGTTAGAATAGTCTAATCGTTGTAAAAGAAATTGTGCACATATAGATACACTATTCAATTCATCTTCTAGATCTTCATGTCAAGATGGTTCACTAATAGACATATTTTCAACCTCTCCGATACTAGAATGTGATGCAATATAATAAACACTTTCTTTCATTTGATTAATCAAATACTGTATAATATTTGGCCATAAATAACACCTAATGAGTGCTTCAATATTTGAAAAGACTGTCACAATATTTGATGTTGAAGGAATACTGTGTATCCAATCTTCATATTGTTTTTGTTTCTTCCGCTCTTTAACATGATTTATAATAACCTTGCCCAATTCACAAAGAGAGGTATTGCTATTTTCAAGAACACGTTTTATACAAGCATTTTGACTTTCCACAAATGACGTTGACTCAATTCCAAGGGTGAATAACATAGTTGTAAATCCATGTGCCTAGGATTTATGTCGTTCATACAATTGTCTTTCAACGTATTCTGAAGCTGCTGGATAATTTGTAATCATCTCTTCCCAATAATAATTGAAAGTATCAGGAGTATCAGCATTTCGGCATCTCCAAAATGCAGAATAGAAGTCTGCAAATGAATTGCCCAATTTTTTACAGAGTGCCTTTTTAAGATTCTCCTTAATATGCCAAATACAAAGGAGGTGACGTGCCAATGGATATTCAATAATAATCGCACGTTCCATAGCAGGATCCCTGTCAGTGATAATTACATTAGATGTTCATCCTTGCATTGCTTTTTTGGTCATGTGCAGCACCCATTCATATGAATCTGCAGTCTCATCACTCATTAATGCTTGTGCAACTATTCTAGATTGCATATTGTTATTTACTACTACGAAGATTGACAATGGCATGTTATATCGATTTGTCCCCGCAGTATTATTATGGCCTATTGAATCTCCAAATTCACACCATAGTAAAATTTGATCTGAACTCATCCAGAAAAGACCAACAAGTGTGTTTGTTTCAATTTTCTACTTTGCTTCTACAAACCATCGGGGATCTTCATGTTGTTTCACCAATAAGTCCTCATAAAAACAGGCTGCATCACCTTCAACAAATTGTGCAGATGGCTTGTGCCTCTTAATTTCAGCATAAAGATCTTGAGGAAAAATTGAATGTAACGGATATTTTTGGCTAAGAATTCGCTTAATCATGATTGCACCAAAACTACATTTTTTCACATAAAACTCGATATCATCCTGTATGTCCTTAGTAAATGCCTTTAATTTCTTGAATTGTAGTGCTTCAATAGACAACTCGTGGTTATGCTCATCCACTAAAGTTGTTACATAAACAAGTGAATTCGGGTTCTGCTTAAGTGGTCGTGAAAGATTAATATGCCACGAACAACCCTGTCTAACAGAAGCTCCAGGATTTTCTAGATTTTTTGCTTTATATTGACCAGAATGTCAACAATCAATTGTTTTTTTTTTCATCACTTTGTCTGTTCCTATTGTAGATCGACCCAACCACATTTTGAACCCTTTAAACTCTGTATACCATTGTATATGTTCTTCAGCATGTATAAAATCTCTAAATGAATCACCCATTTTGATTGAAACTATATCTAAATTATTTATCTCCCTATTATAACTCAACCCTTCAAAAGAACTCTCAATTTCTTCGTTTGCTTCATTTTCTTAACTAGTTCGACTTGTCTGTTTTACATCGTTCACTTCATTTACTGCTTCATTTTTCTGTTCTGTGTATCTTGCATCACTTGCTTCGTTTTGGCTTGTCTCGCTTACTTCGTTTGGCCTATTTGCCTTATTTGTTATTATTTAATATCGAATAACCCCGGAGTCAATAAATCACAGAAGTTGTGTAACAAATATTACGAGATCAAGCAGCTATTTAAGACTAATAAACTACAAAAGTCATGTAACAATTTTTAAGGGTTAAACTATAGACTAGTTACGATTTTATTCACTTCGGATTGTATATGAGTTTTTAACCCATATTGCTGTATTTACTTTTGAACTATCGCTTCGTTTTTAGTTAGCAAAAGAGTAACCTTTTCTTTGTTTATATGGTTTTATTTTATATTAATTAATTGCATCATTTGTGCTACTCAACAACAATATATTTTATTCTCCGCTATTGCATCGTATACTCGATACATTTTATTCTCCGCCGGTGTATATGTGATCGTCAAACCGATGCACTGCAGTGCATAATGCACTATTTACTAATTCTCTAAATAAAAATTTGAACCCAAGTTAGAATAAACTAAAATTTGCGATGTGGATATATATTGTAGTGTTCATATTTTTTGCATATCATATGCATATACATTTTACAGTACGCAATTGAATATTTTCATGATGCTTTTTTTTTTTTAAAAAAAAAAAAAAAGGGACAAAAAGCAATATTATAGCGAAACTGATATTGATTATAATCTAAATAAGTTGGATTTAGATTTCTTCAGTCAACTTTATAGCCTGCATATTTTGAAAGTGGTTTTTTTAAAAATTAACTTACCATACTGGATTTAAAGCTTAAATCTTTATATCTTGTTATAAAGATGCACAGAATTAACTACATATTAATATACATATGTGTATATGTAGTGTTAAAACCTAAATGCATATATAGGTACATCGCATATCCCAGTCTATTTTAACAATGGCCAAATATCCCAAAACTAGGGTTGGGGGCATGGCAAATTTTTGGGGCATGCCTCTCTATGCCCCGGGCATGCCCCTCTGGATATAAAAGGGATCCAATCAACTCACTGACAATTACCAAC